AATTTCCTTTAGAGCATTGCTTAACTTATTTCATGTGTCGGATTCTTAAATCCACTTGCAAGGTTTGACACGATGAAAACTTATAAGTTTCTCAAAAAGGCATATCAATCAATCTCTATAACGAGACATGGATTTCACCAACTAACTTATTATTTCACCAATATATATTATTATCATCCAACTTACCAAGCATATTGACCCATCTCAGAATTTCACCTTTTTAATAAATCAAAAACGATAATTAATATATACAGATCATAATAGTTATATCAGGATTAAGAATATAAGTACATTTAATAGTTTAGAGAATATGTTTTGTCAGTCAGTCTAAAACAACTATCTCTACTCGGTCCCGTTCAATACATACAAAATGCACTAGCACAAGAAGTTGGAACTATACCGTTACCATAATCAAGATAAATTACCTATAATCTTGTGCTACAATCGTACCGATGGCATGTCCAATTTCCATCCTAGATTGTGAACAAAAAACTTTATACTTATAAGAACCGATGATTTAATCCTCTAACTAAATCATCTACTGCATAAAGTAAACAAACACCATAAACATCTGCTACATAAGTAAACAAACACCATAAACGAATAATATAAGTAAATAGACACCATAAACGAATATATGATCTATTAAAATTGAGCAAATATTTATTCTATAATAAATATTATTTCTTAACACATGGTTAATAGTATATATCCCAACAATCTCCCACTTAGACTTTTAACCATCACAATTGTTATAATGTACTATATCTAAATGCATGGTTAATAGTATATACCCTAACAATCTCCCACTTAGATATTTAATCTTGAAAATTGTTAGAATACTATGTCTAAACACATGATTAATAGTATATACCCTAACAGTTAGAACTCTTATTTTAAACATAGATTGCTTTTGATGATAGTTACAGGCCATGTTCCAGTAACTTACTTCATTTCACTCCAATTAGTAAAGGCTTTGGTCCAGACATTAGTTATTTAGTTTTTGCATGAAATTTTGGTCATCCTATGGAGTTACATAGTATGCATTTTGCCTAGTTAATTAATTACGTTTCAGGTTCCATTTGCAGTTCATAGAATGTTAGTTTAAGTGTTAGTTGTATGTCAATATTAAGGATTTGCTTGAGTATACTTGTGATTCAAAGTACCGCACACTTAAGATATAGACTCGGATCGTGATGGTTGACCACTTCTTTAAAAGCTATGTAGTCGATGTTGGGGTTTCCTCCAATGCTTATTCATGAATATCCCCAAGAAAATTATGTAACTGATCTTATAATTGTAGGGAGTAGATAAGGTTGCTTGTGTTGGCTAAGACATGTTATTTTAGACACTTGGCGGCTTTTGACTGATTCTTGAGTTTGACTGAAATTGTTATATCATTTGAACATGTGACATCACCTTATTAGTTTTGAATTTGACCTGAATATCAAGTCACCTTGACGTATAACATGAATTTGGGCTTGAGGCCTAAAATAAAGCTTTGATTTGAATTTAAATAAAAAATGTACTAATATATTTGTAAAGAAAAAATTAATTATTCAATCCAAATAAACATGTATTTAAGCAAAGAAAAATGCCCTAATGCTAATGATAATACAGAAAATTGAACTAAAACAACAACACTATGGAATTATTGGACATATAAGTCGTTTATTGATGTCAATTCCAAACACTAATATTACAATGAAAGAAACCATCAACCACTTGAAGAAAATGATTGGAACATCAAATCAACTAGCAGGGAGGACTTTCATGAAAGAACTTAGATCGTCATACAGATGCAACAGACACGTGAGTTAGTCCCTTGTCAGCAAATCTCAGAAGAAATTTAAAAAGTTCATGGGGCTTAGACATCATGACCATATGGTCAGCGCCTTGGATCTCTTTCACTTCATCAGGTGGATTTCTTTCAATCATCAATTGTTGAAATTCTTTTTTTAGAAGTTTATCTTCCGGAGTAACAACAAACGCTCGCCTAATTGATCCATATCTTTTTCTCGAAAGAATTATCTCGTTAGAAACATCCTCCACACTGTAAAAAAATATTTCCCTTACTAGTGTAGTGGCCAACGCCAAATCCTAACACCAAGAAAGAAAAATAAACCAATTTTACATCAGTTTCAAGTTGCAATCAAGTACTTGAATAAATATGTAATTTGTATTACCTCAATTGGGCTCTGTTGGTAAACATTACTTGCTAAGTACTTCGGACCTAAAATGAAGGTTGGAGGATTCGAAGGCCCCTTATCGTATATAACACGATTATCAAGTTTCGATACTACTGCATTGCATAACTATAACAAAGTATATTTAGATACCACTGCATTGCATAACATATTATCTCATGGCTAAATATCGAAATATGGTACCTCAATGTAGACAGTGCTTGCATTGATATTTGGTCCAGGCATTAGACCAGCTACAAATACAGCACCTGAAATTTTTTCTGGAAAAAGTTCCATGGCTTTCGAAATGGCTAGACCACCAATGCTATGGCCAACAAGAACAACATTTTTATGTGCAGGAAGAGAAGTCATGAACTCGATTAACGGACTCAAGAAATCAGAAAAATGTGTGATTTCGGCGGCCTGTTTCGAGTTAATTCCTGAAGCACCTAAGTCAAGAGCTGTGACATTATGCCCTGAAGATTTCATCAATGCTATAATTTTGTACCAAGACCAGGCTCCATGACATGCCTTATGAACCAACACAAAGTGCTTTGCAGCTTTTGGCCTTGACAAGGTTGCATTTACATATGGCAGGACAATTATTAGAACAACTAGACTTGTTAGACAATTGCTTTTCTCCATATCTTGTTTTTTCTTCTTTTTTTCTTTTGAAGAATGAGCATAAAATTTAAATTATTACATAACAACTTTATAATTCCAGGATTTGTCTTTTTCTAACTTACTTCCATGCAGAAGCGACCCCATATTGGTACAAAATTTACTCCTAGTCTCCTACTCTAATATCAATAATATCAAGTCAATAAATGGATGATTATACTAAGTCTTTAAATATTTATTAATAATGATTAATCAATAGCATAATACATAAATCTGTTTTTTAATTTGGTTTCAGTTGACATCTATGTCCTTCAATTTTGGATGTGCACAAGTAGGCATGAAAATTTGTAT